CTGGTACGTGGAACCCTGCGAAGTTCAATCCATCTTGCTTCTGGCGATAAGTCTCGTCGCTGCCATGACGGATCCAGGACGGCCGCGGGGGCCAGAGGCTCTAGCATTCGCTTCTCCACCTCCGATTGAAAGACCTCGATTCCCTGGAGAAAGAGAAGTTGATCGACTGCTGAATTGGTTCCCAACATCATCCGGCACTTCTGGCGATTCCAACGATCGATTTGCATACCCAGGCATCGAGTGGAAGCGCCTCTGCGCAACGCTTGGGGCTGAAGAATCCGCCCACCAGGATGTTGAATCCGAATCGATTGCCGGAATGTATGCCAGGTCGTTGATGAACGACCACGCTTAGAGTTTAAATGATAGACATTGTTTTTTTGTTATTGCTTTCTTGGCCTGGTCAAAACCGGTCAAGATTAATCATCAGACGCTTGCACATTCATCAGAACGCTTGAAGAAATTTGAGAAGGCCATTCAATGGAATTCAACACCTGTCACTAAATTCAAATTGAATCTTTGGTAAGTTGTGCGGCACCAAGAATGCGCATCTTCCCTAGCGTCTTCAATCGCACACAACTTTTGAAGATCAAGACAATATATAGAGAAAACACACATCTTGATCAACCCATAGCCCACGTAATCTTCATGTATCCATAGTCACCATCATCCTGGGAGATCCCCAGCGCCTTCCACACCGCAGGGGATGCATCCACAATGTTGTTGAGGCAAGGTGGCTCGAACGTGTGCTCTTTGTCACAGCCATTCACGGAATCACACTCGTCCACCACCTTTGCACTCACCGTTCGCCCATTCGCAGAGATCCTTACAAAATTTCCACACCGGCTGCCCTTTGCATACCAGCCCGTGGAGAGCGCCACAACAGGCTCCGAATTGTCGTGATACTGGTTGTCACATTCCGATGGACCTCCACCGTAGCCCCCCTCCTCAAAGTCATTCACGGTGAGGATCGCTATGGTCTCGCCAGTCACTTGCGGGGAGCATTCGTACTGGGGATAGCTCTCGCCCTCTTTACAGCACTCATCGCATGATAGCCTGCCGGGGGAGTGGAGCTCACCGGATGGATTGCAGACGTCCTGGATTTCGAACAATCTCACAGCAGAGGAGGCCACCAAGGTAGAGAGCACAACAAGGACAAGTATGATGCCAGCACTAGAAGCCATTTCCAGTTTGCTCAAAGGAAGGGGACGAGAAGAGCAAGAGGAGAAGCTGAGGAAACATCATGGAGTTCCTAATTCCTTGCGTTATATAGCTAGACGCCAACCAAGAGGATTCGTTCGTCGTGAGGATTGAGGATTCGTTGGTCTGAGATTGTCGTTTCGCTTTTAACTGCGTTGTCGTTTCGCTTTTAACTGCGTCGCCACTTGATCTCTCCGCTCTAACCTTTTCGCGCCAATGAATCCACTACATCCAACAAGATATGGACGCCCTCCAGTCATCTTCTCAATGTCCGCCACCCGCGTTTGGGCCTGGACGATGGTCTGGCCACAAAACTGGCTGCCCGTACACAGATTGGTCTGGAGGATTCCTGGAGCTGGGGAGAATCGAGCTAGCAGCAAGAGAGAATCCACTTTGCTCAAGGAATTTATCGTGGCTTGCAGCCACACTGGCCTGGTGGAGACGGGATGAGAGTTTTTTGAGAGCCAGTGAAGGTAATGGTGAGCTCTGGATGATCAAGTCCACTTGGAAGACCAAGACCAGGAAAGTTTTGAAGATCAAGACAAAGGTGGTATAAATCTCGTAAATGTTACCTGCCGAAGCAAAGATGAGAAAGCACGCATTTACATACAATAGAGGCGATATGCAATTCTTTATCACTCATCATCCATAGCCCACGTAATCTTCATGTATCCATAGTCATCATCGTCCTGGGAGACCCCCAGCTTCTTCCACACCACGGGCGATGCATCCACAATGTTATTAAGGCAAGGTGGCTCGAACGCGTGCTCCTTGTCACAGCCATTCACGGAATCACACTCGTCCACCACCTTTGCACTCACCGTTCGCCCATTCGCGGAGATTCTCACAAATTTCCCACACCGACTGCCCTTTGCATACCAGCCCGTGGAGAGCGCCACAACAGGCTCCGAATTGTCATGATACTGGTTGTCACATTCCGATGGACCTCCACCATCGCCGCCCTCCTCAAAGTCATTCACGGTGAGGATCGCCTTGGTCGCGCCAGTCACTTGCGGCGAGCATTCGTACTGGGGATAGCTCTCGCCCTCTTTACAGCACTCGTCGCACGAATGCCCGCCGGGGGCATGGAGCTCACCGAATGGCTGGCAGACGTCCTGGATTTTGGAGAATCTCGCAGCAGAGGAGGCCACCAAGCTAGAGAGCATAACAAGGAGGAGGATGCTGCCAACACCAAAAGCCATTGCTCCAAGGAAGAGGATGAGAGGAGAAGAAGAAGATAAGAGGAGAACTTGTGGAAACATCAAGGAGTTCCTCGCATTTTATAGCCAGATCTTCCAGAGCAAGAGAAACGACAAGTTCACGACCAACGAATCCTCAACCCTCATTTTTGGAGTAGCGTCACTCTAATTCTAACTTTTGTTTTTTAAAATTTAGATTCTATTCGCGCCTTTGAAATTTTAAAATATCAAAACTTTCTACTTCTTTCTCGCGCCAAAGCGCTCGATCAAGAGGTCTTGGACCACGGGCAACAAGCCATCACACGGCACATCCGCCACCACGAGATCGCCCAAATGAGAATCCGCCCCAACCCTACCTCCGACGTAGATATGGACGCCCTCCACCACCTTTTTGTTGGCATCTCTGGTCATACACCCCATGAAGCCAATGTCCGCCACCTGGATTTGCCCACACGAATTAGGGCACCCCGTCCAGTGCATCCGTACGGGCCGCGGCACCTCCATGGTCCTCTCCAGCTCCTCCGTCAGCTTTTGGGCCCTGGCCTTTGTCTCGATGATGGCCTGGCCACAAAACTGGCTGCCCGTACACGCCACGAGATTGGCCTGGAGGATTCCCGGCGTTGGGGAGAATCGAGCCAGTAGCGGCTCGCGGAGGAAAGAATCCACTTTGCTCGAGGGAACGTTTGGGATGATGATGTTTTGCTCAACCGTGAGCCGGATCTCACCGCTGCCATACTCGTCCGCCAGCCGCGCGAGCTCGATCATCTCCGCGGCCTGGACTCGCCCGACTGGTACGTGGAGCCCCACGAAGTTCAACCCGTCTTGCTTCTGGCGATGGACGCCAAACAAGTCTCGTCGCTGCCATGACGGATTCAGGAGATCGGTCTCGGCCGCGCGGGCCAGAGGCTCTCGCATTCGCTTCTCAACCTCCGATCGAAAGCCCTCGATTCCCTGGAGAGCAAACTCAAAAAGAGATTAGTCGACTGCTCTGAAAGAGTCAACTGGCTTACCAGTTCGTCGATGAGCCACATCATCCGGCACTTCTGACGATTCCCTCGGAACCCGAGGTCACGGAACGTCTCCAGGATCGACTGGCAAACCGGGATCACCTCGTCTCCGGGCACCCAGGCATCGAGTGGAAGCGCCTCGGCGCAGCGCTTGGGGCTGAAGAATCCGCCCACCAGGATGTTGAATCCGAATCGCCCGTCCTTGGTCGCGGGAATGTATGCCAGGTCGTTGATGTGAGGGTGCTCGTAGAGATCGTGGCTGCCCACCACGCAAACGTTCCACTTCCGGGGCCTGGTCAAAACCGGTCAAGACTAGTCAACGGACGCTCGTAAATTCAAACGGACCCCTCGAAGCAAGAAATTCGAGAAGACTAGCGAGTCATTCAATCTCAAGCTAGGAATTCAAGCCTACGACTAAGAATCCAGTCCAAACACCAGGAATTCAAGGTAAGAGACCCAAGGAAGAAAAACTCACAAGTTTGTGATGCTGGGATTGCCTCGACCGTTTGAGATGATGAAATCCGAGAGCGTTTTGGTGTATGGCCGGGTGTCGACGATCTCGTGTGGATCAATCCCCGCCAGAGGGTTCCCAACGGGATTTCTCACGTTGTCCATCCCGCTCTGGAGGCTCGACAGTCCCACCTCCTCCAGCCCCTTGAGGATCTGTGGAACATCGCTGAGAACGACCCCGCGGATCTGCCAGTTTTGCCTCGTCGTCACGTCCGCGCAGCCTTTCTCTCCATACTTCTCAATGACGCTGGCGAGGTAGCGGACTTGGGACGAAGTGGACGATCCATTGGGGAGCTTGAGCCGCATCATGAAAGTCCCATCTGCGAGGAAAGGAACGATCACAATCGAATTAGAATGAGAATGAGAAGGGCGATGAAAGCTTACATTGGTGTTTGCGGCGATGGAAGAGACCGAGCCATTTGAGCCGAGCGTCCACATCTTCTTTGGACTCCTTGTCTGCATCGATTTCGTCAAAGGGCTTCTTTGCGAGCTCCTCGATCCCATTCTCCATGAACAATTTCATCGGCTCCTTGTCGATCTTGATCTGTCCATGGCGAAATCAACACACTGAAAGGAAATCAAAATCCCTCCCCTACCTTCTCGGCCGGATTGATCCCCTTTCGAAACTCGGGCTTGAGCACCCAGTAGTTATCGATTTGCTTCACCCTGGGCACCAATCTACCAGCATCCAGCGCCGGCGCCGCCGTAATCTCATCGACGGCGTCCTCCGCCACCGCCCTGGGCACGATTCTCGACGGAGCCGGCGAAGATCCATCCTTGTTGCAGCACACCACACCGCGCCTCACCCTAGATCCATGGCGCCGCTGGTGCTGCCGCGGCGATCCACACGCGAGCTTGCAGTCGAAGAGGAGGGACGAAGCCGCCGCTGCCATGGCCGTGGAGAATCTGGAGCGCTGACACTGGAATTTGTAAGCCTAGCCGCCGCCCCAATCGGAGGCTAAGGGCCGTAGAGCGACACATTACCGCTATATCCTAGCAGTGACCTTGCGGGGTTGTCAAGAGCCAAGCTCTACCTAGAACTTAGTATTATTCCAGGGACACCAAAATATTCCAAGAGAATAAACTAAAAGACGAATATTCGAAAAGAGGTTGGATTCAAGAAGATCTCAGTGTGTAGTGTGAAATCTGGCAATTGATCTTGAGAGAACTAGGTATCATCGATCCGGCATTGATACCCATCGATGATCTTAGCTCTAGCGCTTGGATTTGCGGCCTTTCTTCCGCCCACGCCTAGCTTTCTTCTCGTAGGCCTGCATTGCCCCAACACTGGATGATCGATTCGCTGGAAATTTTGCGTTGCTGCTCTTGCGAGACGACCTTGGATGGATCCATTCGATTAGTGATCACATCTTCTACGGTACCTTCTTCTCCTTGGGCGAGAGGCTGTGCCACGCCGATCCCAGCAGTTTCCCAATCTGCCCAAAGCTCGCCGATGGATGCTGCTTGACGATCTTCTTCCTGTTCGCCTTGCAGAAGAGCATGTATGGCCCCGGCGCCCGCTTCCCCCCGGATCTCTTGGACGACCGTCGCTTCGCCATGGCGGATCGATCGATCGCTCGCGGATTTGATTAGATGTCGCGCAAAATCTCCCAAGGGTCGCGACGATTCGCATGGATATTCCGTCTGGTATTCGAATATTTTGTTCTGCAATAGGATATTCCGTTTAGTCGGCAAATATCTGGTACGGCACTGCCGGGGGTACGGTTAGGGTTAAGTGATCTCGATTCGTCGCCATAGCCGCCTCCTCTTTTTCTTCGCGGGGCTACGTTGCGGGCGCGAATCGTTGCGAATCAATGGAGGCGGCGGGCTGACTGCCGCAAAGATCTTCGCAATGGTAAGTGCGCTATGGAATCATCGATTCGTTCTTGGTAGGGTTTACGAGCGAGCGTGTTCTCTTTCCAGGACGCAATGCCGAGCGACGAGAATCAGCCTTTTCTGAGGGTAAGCCCTTCTCTCCATTGGCTGGAGAATTAGTCTGATTGTTTTCTTCTCGCGTAGATGGAGGATTTCCAGCAGTTCCCCGGCTATGGCATGCCGCAGCCGACGATGCCGTGGGAATCTTACGGCATCATGATGGATCCATTCTCCAACCCGGTGATGACGGTCCCCGTCTACGTCCAGGAGAGAAAGCCCTCTTCCACTGTAGCAGAGAAGAACCCTCAAATCGCCGCTCCACAGGGACCCGATGCCATTAGAAGCAAGCTCCGGGACTCTTTGACGGAGGCTCTCAAGATGGTCGCCGGTGAGCACCCGAAGGAAAAGATCCTGGCGTTTCTCAATGGTGGTGGCGTTGTGGATTCCCACCACGACTTCGAGGCAGCTCCAATGGTGGTGGAGGAGTCGCTAGTCCCGCATGCCAAGCGCTCCAAGCTCCAAGTTTTCGGTGGCAAGGGGTCGTCTTCTCCTAGCAAGAGGATGAGGATGGATAGTGACGAGCTGGGCTTTCGGTGGGAGGAAAGGGTGACGGAGCACGCGAAGCTGGTTTCCAAGAACATAGAGATCGAGTTGCTGCGGGTCTTCAAAGCCGTGAACAGGAAGTACAAGGAGAAGGCGAGGTCGCTGGTTTTCAATCTCAAGGACAAGAACAACCCAGATCTGAGGGCCCGTGTGTTCGTCGGTGAGGTGAGCCCCGAGCAGCTTTGCTCCATGACCATCGAGCAGCTCGCGTCCAAGGAGCTGTCGCAGTGGAGGATGGCCAAGGCGGAGGAGCGCGCGCAGAAGGTGGTGATCACCGACGAGGATGTGAATCCCAGCAAGATCGTGAAGAAGACCCACAAGGGGGAGATTATCATGGAGGTGGACAGTGACGCTCCGGTTGCTCCGGTGAAGGAAGTCGAGGGTGGGGACGTGAGTGCTAGCGCCAGTGAAGATGCTGCTCAAGAGAGGTCTGAAGATGAAGAAGAGAAAGAGGGAGAAGAAGAAGAGGGAACTCAGGAGAAAGAAGAGGAGGGAACTCAGGAGAAAGAAACGGCAGACGAGAAAGTCGTAGATGGCGAAAAGGAAAGAGATGCGGAGATGGTCGACGCTAAGGAGGCTGATGATGCTACGGCTGATGCTACGATGGTGTCAGCGGCGAGAGAAGCGGTGGAAGCGCCGCCGCTCCTCAGCGACACTGGCGGCACGATTCCAGACGAGGGTGGTGCCGCTGGCGGCGAGAGTTTTGAAGCTAGCAGTGATCCTCCACTACTCGATGTGTCTGATTTCAAGGGGTTGCCCGAAATTATGTCTATGGATGGGTTTTTGAAGTCCTTGGGGTGTACTACTGGAGGAGACACAAAGGCCGTGGACGTAAAGAAAGAGGGAGAAGAAGTTACGGAAGCGATAGATGGCTCCAAGGCGGACGAAAAGGCTAGTGGCAGTGCTACGACGACAGCAGGGAATAGTTTGAAAAGGAAGCTAGGTGACAACGAGCGCAAGCAAAATGACAAAAGCAGCTCGCCATCGAGAAAGCAATCGCCGATGAACGGGGAAGAGAAGCCACTTAACTTACAGCTTTGGGAGGGGAGCTTGCAACTCACTGGGACTCGCTCGACAGCGGTGCACGGGATGTTTAGAAGGTTAGACTCGAGACTCGGGTTTGTTTTCTCTTTTCTTTTCTGCATTCGTGTCGCTAACGCTTCGTGGAGGAATCTGGAAGTTCTTTTTTCTTTTTTAGGACTTGTTTGATCTCAATCACCAACGAGGTTATTGACGGTGTTGTTTCCTTCGGATTTGGCAGTGGACGTCACGACGTGAAGTTAGATGCGTGGCCGAAGCAGCTTGAAGTGAAAGGAAGAGTAAAGCTGGGACCTCTTGCTAAGTTTCTCAAGGATCTATGTAACTCGAAATCCAGAGCGGTCACGGTATGTTTGCAAAGAAAGATCTTTACGTTGGTTGGTCAAGCTTCTTAATGTTTGTTCTTGCGTGCGTTTTGTTACGTAGGTGATGTCTTTTTACTCGAGTGACATGGCTACGTCTTCGCTTTCGCTTCTCAAAGAGGTACGAAGAAGTTCCCGTGTCTTTTGCGTGTGTAAGGAACTTCACTTAGGAGCTCTCTTTGTTTTGTCACAGGTTGCCGATCAATATGAGAAAGGAGAGCGTGTGGGCTATGTGGAGCCTGGGACGGGCTACGAGCTCTATCTCTTCCCCCCTGGAAAGGCAACCTGGAAATTCTTAACTGAAAACGGTCGGTTAAAACCCAGCGCCGATCTCCCCAAGGACAAGAGCGAGGTGCTAGTGGGCTGCGTCGTCTGGCGGAAGAATCCCTCCGACAAGAGCGAGAGTAGAAAGCCGTCGTCCGCCGAAAAGAGTAAGAGAGGCTCGTCCAGAGCTCCCAGCAGTAAGCACTCCCGAGGCAAGTCCAGTTCTTCCACCGCCGCTCCCTCCACCGCCACCGCCACCATCGCTGCTCCTCCTCCCCCCTCTCTCGCCTCTGCTAAGCATCCCAGTCCATCCCGGGTGAAGAGCGTCTCTCCATCTCAATCGCAAAGTGTTGTAAAGCAGCATTCTGTAAATGAATGGCACCAGCAATCGAGCCTTTGTAGCCCAACTCCCGCTGCTACCATCGCCGAGTCGGCCCTTCCTCCTCCTCCGTTTCTAGAGGGTCTTCTCCCGCCGGGCTTCCATCCCAGTCTCCTCCAGGCTCTCACCGCGGTGCTACCAGGTTCGACGTTACCGGGTTACGATGGGGGGCCACCGGGTTTCTGGCAGCAGCAGCAGCAGCAGCAGCAACAGCAGTGCAAAGATGGCAACGATCTTCCAGAGTTTGAGTACGAGGGATACATTCCAATGCCAGGTGGTGGTGGTGGTGGTGGTGGCGGAGGTTTGGAGGCGTTCCATCAGCTCCAAGGCGGCGGGGAGTCCTCGTTTCGTCACCACCATCTTCATCAGAGCTCTCAGGGGGGATTTCTCCAGCCGCCGGCCGAGGCTTACACGACGACGTCCGAGGGGCTGGGAATGCAGTGGCCAAGACCAACAGCAGGTGGAGGAAATCTCCAGCAGCAGCAACAAGCTCTCCAAGTTCTTGGGAGTCATCACCAGCAGCAGCAGGATAGCTCGTCGAATCCAGGCGGAGGATTTCCAGTCTTGCGGCCACCTCTACCGCCAGGGCCTCCGCCACCGCCTTCTGCTAGTAGTGCCGCTGGTAGTGGCGGTGGTGGTGGTGGTGGTGGTGGTGGTGGTGGTGGAACCGCAGCTGCTAATTCTTCTTATGGACAGTGGGTACATCCTAATCAAGCTGCTCATCAAAAAACTTTGCATTATAAGAAGGCTAGCGTTGCGGCCCCTTCACAGCAAAGGCGTCATAGAAGCTAGCTAGACACGAGAGAGAGAGCGAGTGATTTAACACTCTTTGTAACTCTAGTCTTTGTTTTAATGCGGTAAAACAATGCCCTAGCTCGGGTTTAGTGGTTTAAGTTATTTGGCGGGAATGAGGTTCTTTCTTTGGATTTTGGTGATATGATGCGTGATCCGATAGAAATGGACGAGACTTATGGCGGAGTGGCCTTTGCCCGTGGTTGGAGCTTCCACCCGCGCTTTAGCCATTAAAATGGAGCCGCATGGGGAGACGATTTCCCTGGAGCGATGCTTGGGATGGAGCGAGTCTTTTTCTCGCTTGCTGCTCTTGCTGTTCTTGCTGCTGCCGCAACCAACGAGGTGATCTTTTCCTTTCTCCGGCTTGATAGATTTCTAAGAAGTTGGGTGTTTTTGGCAGCCTGTTAGCAAATACATTGTCTACTTGGGGCACACTGGGAGCTCTAAACCGGAGGCTGTGACATCGTCTCATCACCAAATTCTTGCCTCTGTCAAGGGGAGGTACGAAACAATCCTCTTGCAACAATTTTTCTTTTCTCCTCACTGTGTTTGATGTTTAGCAAGGAATCGTCGCTGGTTCACAGCTACAAGCACGGTTTCAATGGCTTCTCCGCCTTCTTGACTGCAGCCGAAGCCGACTCCATTGCAAGTATGCCTCTCCTTGAAGCTTTCGTCACGAGTTTTGATGTGTTGGTTTATCAGAGCTTCCTGGCGTGGTTAAGGTTTTCCGTTCCAGAAAACTCAGTCTCCACACAACACGCTCTTGGGATTTTCTCGACAGCTTTTCTGGTGGTCCGCACATTCAACTCAACTCTAGCTCCGGATCGGATGTCATTGTGGGAGTCCTGGATACTGGTAATCATGGAAAAAGCTTACTTCCGAGTTAATTATCCACTTCCAGGTGTTTGGCCGGAGTCCAAGAGCTTCGACGACGCTGGGATGGGACCGGTGCCAAAGAGATGGAAAGGAGTATGTGACAATTCCAAAATCACCAATCATTCACACACGATCCACTGCAACAAGTAAGATCACTCTTGGGTTCATCTCTCAAGCATTGTGATTTGTTTCAGGAAAATTGTAGGAGCTCGATCTTATGGACACTCGGACGTGGGGAGCCGTTATCAAAACGCTCGGGACGAACAGGGGCATGGAACTCACACGGCCTCCACCATCGCTGGAAGCCTGGTAACAGACGCCACTTTTTTAACAACTCTTGGAAAAGGAGTTGCTCGAGGGGGCCATCCATCCGCAAGGCTTGCGATCTACAAGGTTTGCACGCCAGAATGTGAGGGTGACAACATTCTCGCAGCATTCGACGACGCAATTCACGACGGTGTAGATATTCTCTCGTTATCGCTGGGTGAAGATACCACCGGATATGACGGGGATTCCATACCCATTGGTGCTTTATCCATTGGTGCTTTACATGCAATGCAGAAGGGAATTTTTGTATCATGTTCTGCTGGAAATGGAGGTCCAGGCTTCCAAACCATCGAGAACTCGGCTCCATGGATTTTGACAGTGGGAGCAAGCACTATCGACAGGAAGTTCTCGGTCGACATCACACTTGGAAACTCTAAAACCGTTCAGGTACTTGATTGTTTTTCGTGAATTTTTCCTTTCTCATGTATATATAACAGGGAATAGCAATGAATCCCAGGCGGGCTGATATATCAACGCTTATTTTGGGTGGTGATGCTTCTTCTAGATCTGATCGAATAGGACAGGCCAGGTGATAAAACTAACACTGTTTCAGCTGAATGAAAGCTTATCACTAAAACATACTTGGCATTAAGCCTATGTGCAGGACGTTCTTTGGATGGGAAGAAGGTCAAGGGAAAGATTGTCTTGTGCAATTACAGTCCGGGCGTTGCATCATCCTGGGCCATCCAGCGACATCTTAAAGAACTTGGTGCCTCTGGAGTAATTTTGGCGATTGAAAATACGACAGAGGCAGTGTCCTTCCTTGATCTTGCTGGAGCTGCTGTCACTGGGAGCGCCTTGGACGAGATTAATGCCTACCTGAAGAACTCGAGGTACACAAGCTTTCATGCATTTTTGGTTTGAGACTTCTTGACGTCTTTTAAACTTTTCTCAAGGAATACTACAGCGACCATCTCTCCAGCACATACGATCATACAAACCACTTCAGCCCCAATCATTGCGGATTTCTCATCGAGGGGACCTGATATTACCAACGATGGCATTCTTAAGGTATCTGGAGGAGAGTCTTACTAATATAAACTGGGAGTCTTATCTTTACAGCCCGATCTCGTTGCTCCTGGTGTGGACATACTGGCTGCATGGAGTCCCGAGCAGCCCATCAACTATTATGGCAAGCCAATGTACACCGACTTCAACATAATCTCTGGAACTTCCATGGGGTGTCCTCACGCCAGTGCTGCCGCGGCCTTTGTCAAATCCAGGCACCCGAGTTGGAGTCCAGCAGCCATCAAGTCGGCTCTCATGACAACAGGTACCAAAGAGAACAAAAACAACTAGTTTTCCCTCTTTGATCGTTTGTTTGGTGTTTGTAGCACGCTTCCTGGACAACACAAAGAGCCCAATCAAAGACCACAATGGGGAAGAAGCTTCACCATTTGTGATGGGAGCCGGACAGATTGATCCAGTCGCAGCGCTTAGTCCTGGCCTGGTCTACGACATATCTCCGGATGAATACACGATGTTTCTATGCACGAGGAACTACACAAGGGATCAGCTGGAGCTCATGACTGGAAAGAACTTATCTTGTGTACCCCTGGACTCCTACTTGGAGTTGAACTATCCATCCATCGCGGTTCCCATCACTCAGTTTGGCGGGCCAAATTCCACCAAAGCGGTGGTGAACAGGAAAGTTACCAACGTTGGAGCTGGCAAGTCGGTCTACAACATTTCAGTAGAAGCTCCGGCGGGAGTGACTGTCGCGGTGTTTCCTCCACAGCTCAGGTTTAAATCCGTGTTCCAGGTTCTAAGTTTCCAGATCCAATTCACAGTTGATTCATCCAAGTTCCCACAAACTGGAACACTGACATGGAAGAGTGAGAAGCACTCGGTCAGAAGTGTTTTTATTCTTGGCACTGAGTTCAAGTGGCAGACGACATGATAAGAATGTTCCAGGTCACAAGATTTGGCGGCAAAACAATGCGTCAAGTTTCAATCCCTTTCATTTCCAAGATGCCCTCTTTCGGCATAATAACGCAGTACCTAAACTTTCTACAAAACACTCGTATAACTCCACCTGGTCTCAAAGTGGATCTTATCGAGGTGTTGAATAAAAGAGCTTTCGATTGATCAAATTCACTGCACTGGGGTTTGCTCTGAGCATTTCTAGTCCACGGTACAACACCATGCTTGAGAATTTCCTGTCAAATTGTAGCAACAAAACATAAGATCCCAGCACTGTTCGATGGCTTGTGCTTGGGGTTGATAACTCAATGAGAGAGACGAGAACTCTATGCCAACGCCTGATCTTATATACTAAGTTAGTCCTCTTCATCCCCACCTTGGGCAAAGAATCCTTTGCTTCAATGGCTTTTCACTATGATGGAGCCGTCACTAATTTGCTACTTGATTCTTCCTTTGTCCGCTCGTTATGCTCTTGGATGCGGGCCAAACACCTAGAGGTTTGTGTAGATGAAACATTGAGATTTTAACATGGAAGTAAGCTTACTTAAGCGTGCCAATATCCATAACTCCCCAGAGCTAGTGTTGAATAATCTTTGGTACCAAGAGCCGACTTGATGGCTCCAACTCGGATGCCTGGATTTGAGCAGCACAGGTGTGAGGGAAGTTCCAGAGTAAATTGATGGCTTTCCATGATGCAGACCAGATCCGGATGTAAAGAATCCTCAAGTAAAAGTTTCTTATTTGGAGCTTGTATTATAGCTTGCTGTAGGAAAGTTACAAAACCTCTTAAGCTATTCAGGTACAAGTAGATTTACATACAAGCTTTATTTATTAATTTTTAATGATAATATAATCAATAATTGACTTATTTATAAATTTAAACACTATTAATTAAGATAGTTACTTACATATATTTAATTCTAATTTTATTACAACTTTCAATGGTAGAATAAAGTAGAATATACTAGGAAGTGTTTATAAATTATAAATATGTTTATAAGTAAAAGATTAATTTAATTAAATATTAACTGTTAGATGGTAAAATATCCCAGAATATCCAACCATATTCTAGGTTTATCTTACAACACATATAAAATTAAAAAATTAAATATTTTTCTAAAATATCATTCTAATCATTTTATTATTTTTCTTAAATATAAGTGATTTTTTTAGTATTAATACATATGCTAATTTTTATGTAAACTTCATATAATATTTTTTAATTTTCTTTTAAAACTTTAACTTTATAAGAAATCAAAAGTGGGAAGTATATTTATTTAAATTTACTACAATTTACTACCTCTAGTATATTTCAACATATTATGATGCTCTAACCTAGTGTTTTAATTAATTGCAATACTTTAACTTAGTGTACTAACCAATTTATGATTATCATCATTGTTTTAAAGGTTTTTAGCTGTTCAAACTGGTTGCATAAGCAATTCTTACTTATTTATTAAAAATTATAAAAGTTATTTTACATAAAATATTTTTTATTTATTAAGTTCCTACTAGTGATATTTTAAAGAGCTCATTTAACTTTCCAGTTTATATAGATTATATATATTATACTTATATCATATCTTTGAGGTTATTTTTCTATTTTTGTAAAATATATAATAATAATACCTTAATATTTTAATTAAATATTTAAATTTATAAAAGAAAGAAATTTAATAATTAACTAGAGTTATGAATTTTACATATACACTAATGACCTTGAAAATATGTGATTTATTGTAATTTTCAAGATTACTATATATATCCAGTTCTAGAATAAAACTATGATGAAATTCATTTATATGGGCTTTTTAAGGTATTCAAATGAAAAATAAAATTGAGTTATGTGACCATCAAATATAGACATTATAAAGTTAGAGTTTATTTTTCTTCCTTTTTAATTAAAAGACTAAATATTGTTTACTAAACAGTACTATATATATATATATATATGGGCGAACTATATACTAAAACTGTACTATATATACTAAACAGGATCAAAAGTTAATTAATTAGTTAAGGTGGTGTAGGAAACTAAAAGCTTTTTTGTCCTTATTAGTCTCTCATTTTTATCATAACTAATAAATACAATCCTCAAAATTAGTTGTTCAGAGAAATATACTTTCATTACTACCACAATCCTAAAAGTCCTTTTTCTTTAAAGTAATGAAAAATCAATTTACAACTAAGTAAATCATATAACCAATGAAATAATTATGCTCTTCTTTTAATTTTGTATCAAATATCTGCCAGCTAAATGCTCAATAATAAGTTTGCCTATGCTTTGAGAGCTTTGAGTATTTTGTTAGGTAATCTAGTACGTTTGAATTCTAAAAAAAAAATTCAATAGTTAGAAAGAAAGTGTTGACTCTCACATTGAAAGCACAGTCTAAAAATGACTTATATCTCAAATAACACAAGATGGTTATAAAGCTAAAGTTTCAATTTGCTTTCAAAAGTCTCGTTTGTAAAGGATCAGCCCTAAAGGCTATTTAGGGCTATTTGCCATCTATATCAGCTTTTCTGTATTAGTTTATAAAGTAAGTTATAATTCAACATAGCAGAAATTCTACAAGAGGTACAGAAATTACTGCTGTTGTTATTCACTAGGTGATGAGCAAAGAAATATCCTTGGCATGGCCTTGCAACTCATGGATATGATGGTCTAGAGTATATGGTAGTGCTCATAGGACAATGGGACGAGCATGGTGGTCTCAAGGAAAAGGTCACAAGGTTGTGAACAAAGAAAGAGATTTTTTTCTGGTTCACAGTATAGGGGGTGTTCTCATCCTTCAAGTTGAAAACAGTCTCCTATAGAGATGTTCGTGCATACACAGGTATTTAAGTGCCCAGAATAGTTGGGTCTTAACTCTTGCTTTAGCATGCCACACAGCTAAAGATGGGTTTGTCATGCTTTCGTAGTAACTAAAAGTATGAACCTAATTTTTTCTTTATTATATACTTGAGGTGAAGAGGATCACGTCCTTGCTTGGAGTCTTTGCGACGGAGAACAAGCCATATGGATCACTTGTCTCACGTCTTATTTTAGCTCAAGGATCCTCCCACTCAATGGAACTTATTATGGATTAACTCTATATGTGGTTTGCAAGCACAAGGTCTACTTCTCCCTCACAAATTCATGGCAACCACTTCCTAACAAGGACCATGACCCCCAGCTTGTCACGATTTCAGAGCTTGGAAAGATGTATATGATGCAGAAAAGATACAATGTAAGGCTCAATTTGTGCAAAGCCATTCCAATTCCAACAGTACTCCAGATGTTGGTTTGCTTCCGCTGGTACAAGGGCAGGTTGTATAGGATTATAAAGATGACATAATCAAACTCTTGGTTTGGGACGAGGACCAGGATCAGAGTGGTAGGAGCTTGATTCACATCCAATGTACTGCCATAGTGTCCAACAGCCGGGTGGTGATAGGTTCTTCATCTCCACAGGTGCATGCTACTTCTGCATGAATCAGCTGCACAACGAAGATGGTTTATGACTTGGAAGACAGCAGCTGGTACTACCACACTATCCACCACTATCGCTTCCTAACTGGTTTAGTTTGCACTTGTTGTGTGGACTAGCAATATCCATTTGCTGCAGACTTGAAATTCTACTATTCGAATACACAATTTCAAAATCATATAGAATCTATTTGGGCAATATAACACTTCATTTCTTCTCCATGTTGTGCTCTTGAATAGACCTTAAACCCTAAATATAATTAATTAATTATTAATGATTTAATTAACTATAAAAGAGCTCGTTTTAGAAGTGGTTTTGAAGTATTTGGAGCAGGTAAAGAATTCCTTGAAACAGAGCTCCAACACTACAGGAGCAGTAAAATATTCTGGTATAACAACTTTCGAGAGAGTTAGATTGAAAAAAGCTTCACAAAAAATTTAAATATACCAAAATGCTAGTTTAACCACTCATCAGTAAAAATTGTTGTATGGCGCTGAGTTTTTAGGATCCATCGCGATGGCATTGCAAGCAGCACCAACACTCCTATCCACTCCAACAGAGTGGATCTTACAGGCACTCACGAAGCATCCCCAGTTGGAAACATCTGGAAGAAATGGCATTGTGTTGATGAGATCCTCAGCATCATCCAAGAGCCCAGCTCCCGCAAGAACACCGATCAAGCAGCAGTAGTGATCTCGCTCAGGGCTTATATCGTAGTCAAAAACCATTGAAGCCAAGGTATCTCTAGCAGCAATTACCAGCCCAAGGTGGCAGCAAGCAATCAAAAGGCCCATGAAACTCAGCTCGTCTGGCTTGAATCCTTCCAGATTCAAGACGTCAAAGAGATGAATGGACTCAGCACAATGTAGATTCTGGGCAAACGACACGATAAGAACGTTCCAGGTCACTATGTTTGGCTGTAAACAGCGTTTAAACAATGCCCAAGCATCGTCTAAGTGTCCATTTTGCCCATACGCTCCGATCATGCAATTCCACGTGATAACGTTTGGAACTTCTACACTGTCAAAAAAGTACTTTGCTTCGTTTACATGCCCTCGTTGGGCATATGCAGTGATCATAACATTCCAAGGAACGCTGTCTCTCTGGGGCATCAGATCAAACACTCTTCTATCTTTTGCAAGATTATCTTGATTTCAAAGTGCTGCTAGGAAAAGTGTCCACGACACAAGGTTTCTTTGAGGCATTGAATCAAAGAAATTGTGTACTTGATCGATTTCACCGCACTGGGAGTTTGCTCGGAGCATTCCAGTCCACGCTATAACATCGTGCTGTGGCATTCTCTCATATGTGTCTCTTGCTAGATTAGTGCAGCCATGCTGCGCAAAAGAGTTGATAAGTGTTGCCCACGACACGCAATCTCTCTGCGCCATCCTCGCAAAGAACTTTCGTGCTCCATCAAGATCTCCGCACTGAGCATGCGCAACGATCATAGAGTTCCATGGGACTGGATTGCTCAGTCTTTTGTGAGAATCATGATCTCGTTCCATTCTATCAAACAGCTTCTTTGCTTCAAGAAAATCTCCAGCTTGAGCATATGCCGAAATAATCACATTCCACGACACAGAGTCTCTCTCAGGCATGTTTTCGAATTTGTTTCTAGCCTGGCTGATCATTCCAGCTTTCGCAAACCCAGTGACAATAGCATTCATACGAAAAAACGTCCCACTCTGGAATTCGATCGAAAACAAGCCTCGCTTCATGAACTTGCCCGCTGTTGGCATTTGCCGAAAGAAGCGCATTCCAAGTCACTACATTCTTCCCGGGCATGGAATCGAAAACGCGCTTGGCCTCGTGGAGCTGCTGGTTGTGAATGTGGGCTTGGAGCAGGATTGTCCACGAAAAGGAGTTGGCGGTGAGAATGGAATCAAACACGCTGCGTGCATCGCCAGAGCTCCCGCATTTGCCATACATTTGGACGAGGAGATTCGCAATGTAGACGTTGTTCTTGTAATGGGTTCCTTCGATCAAAGCGTGGATCTTGCGAGCATCGCTCAGATCTTTCGCGTTACCACAGCACCTGACGAGACAAGCGTATGATTCCAAGTGATCATCCCGGCGAAAGATGTTCTTGGCAACCATGTAAAGCTTCCATCCAGGGTTTAAGCTATGCTATCAATGTCTCGGGGATCTCTGGCGCACCACCGCGCCAGGGCTTGCAGGATCCAGCCCTGATCGAGGATGACAGTGGATGGGATGGAATGTGGGCATCGCTGGGTGAACCAGAGGATTCAAGGGTCCAGTCTCCTCGATCGATGGCGATACATGGCAGCTTTCATGCAGCACACAGGAGGCGTTGGCTTCCACTGGGATTTCTCTCCACCATTTGCCATCGTGTAAGTTCTCGACCTTTTCTCTTTGCTGGATTTTCGTGGATCAATCACAAGATCCGCTTTCACTGCTAGAGAGACTCGGCTTCCACTCGCAAAGAAGCTTAATCCCTGCTCTTGTAAGCCATCGTCGAGGATAGCTCGTCGAATCCAGGCGGAGGATTTCCAGTCTTGCGGCCACCTCTACCGCCAGGGCCTCCGCCACCGCCTTCTGCTAGTAGTGTCGCTGGTAGTGGCGGTGGTGGTGGTGGTGGTGGTGGTGGTGGAACCGCAGCTGCTAATTCTTCTTATGGACAGTGGGTACATCCTAATCAAGCTGCTCATCAAAAAACGTTGCATTATAAGAAGGCTAGCGTTGCGGCCCCTTCACAGCAAAGGCGTCATAGAAGCTAGCTAGACACGAGAGAGAGAGCGAGTGATTTAACACTCCTTGTAAGTCTAGTCTTTGTTTTAATGCGGTAAAACAAAGCCCTAGCTGGGGTTTAGTGTTTTAAGTTGCCTGCATTTGGCGGGAATGATGCGTGCGAGGTTCTTTCTTTGGATTTTGGTGATATGATGCGTGATCCGATAGAAATGGACGAGACTTATTGATCGGCTGGCGGAGTGGCCTTTGCCCGTGGTTGGAGCTTCCGCCCGCGCTTTAGCCTTTAAAATGGAGCCGCATGGGGAGAAGATTTCCCTGGAGCGATGCTTGGGATGGAGCGAGTCTTTTTCTCGCTTGCTGCTCTTGCTGTTCTTGCTGCTGCCGCAACCAACGAGGTGATCTTTTCCTTTCTCCGGCTTGATAGATTTCTAAGAAGTTGGGTGTTTTTGGCAGCCTGTTAGCAAATACATTGTCTACTTGGGGCACACTGGGAGCTCTAAACCGGAGGCTGTGACATCGTCTCATCACCAAATTCTTGCCTCTGTCAAGGGGAGGTACGAAACAATCCTCTTGCAACAATTTTTCTTCTCTCCTCACTGTGTTTGATGTTTAGCAAGGAATCGTCGCTGGTTCACAGCTACAAGCACGGTTTCAATGGCTTCTCCGCCTTCTTGACTGAAGCCGAAGCCGACTCCATTGCAAGTATGCCTCTCTTTGAAGCTTTCGTCACGAGTTTTGACGTGTGGTTTATCAGAGCTTCCTGGCGTGGTTAAGGTTTTCCGTTCCAAAAAACTCAGTCTCCACACAACACGCTCCTGGGATTTTCTCGACAGCTTTTCTGGTGGTCCGCACATTCAAATCAACTCTAGCTCCGGATCGGATGTCATTGTGGGAGTCCTGGATACTGGTAATCATGGAAAAAGCTTACTTCCGAGTTAATTATCCACTTCCAGGTGTTTGGCCGGAGTCCAAGAGCTTCGACGACGCTGGGATGGGCCCGGTGCCAAAGAGATGGAAAGGAGTATGTGACAATTCCAAAATCACCAATCATTCACACACGATCCACTGCAACAAGTAAGATCACTCTTGGGTTCATCTCTCAAGCATTGTGATTTGTTTCAGGAAAATTGTAGGAGCTCGATCTTATGGACACTCGGACGTGCGGAGCCGTTATCAAAACGCTCGGGACCAACAAGGGCATGGAACTCACACGGCCTCCACCATCGCTGGAAGCCTGGTAAAAGACGCCACTTTTTTAACAACTCTTGGAAAAGGAGTTGCTCGAGGGGGCCATCCATCCGCAAGGCTTGCGATCTACAGGATTTGCACGCCAGTATGTGACGGTGACAACGTTCTCGCAGCATTCGACGACGCAATTCACGACGGTGTAGATATTGTCTCGTTATCGCTGGGTTTAGATGACGGGGATTCCATATCCATTGGTGCTTTCCATGCAATGCAGAAGGGAATTTTTGTATCATGTTCTGCTGGAAATGGAGGTCCAGGCCTCCAAACCATCGAGAACTCGGCTCCATGGATTTTGACAGTGGGAGCAAGCACTATCGACAGGAAGTTCTCGGTCGACATCAACCTTGGAAACTCTAAAACCATTCAGGTACTTGATTGTTTTTCGTGAATTTTTCCTTTCTCATGTATATATAACAGGGAATAGCAATGAATCCCAGGCGGGCTGATATATCAGCGCTTATTTTGGGTGGTGATGCTTCTTCTAGATCTGATCGAATAGGACAGGCCAGGTGATAAAACTAACACTGTTTCAGCTGAATGAAAGCTTATCACTAAAACATACTTGGCATTAAGCCTATGTGCAGGACGTTCTTTGGATGGGAAGAAGGTCAAGGGAAAGATTGTCTTGTGCAATTACAGTCCGGGCGTTGCATCATCCTGGGCCATCCAGCGACATCTTAAAGAACTTGGTGCCTCTGGAGTAATTTTGGCGATTGAAAATACGACAGAGGCAGTGTCCTTCCTTGATCTTGCTGGAGCTGCTGTCACTGGGAGCGCCTTGGACGAGATTAATGCCTACCTGAAGAACTCGAGGTACACAAGCTTTCATGCATTTTTGGTTTGAGACTTCTTGACGTCTTTTAAACTTTTCTCAAGGAATACTACAGCGACCATCTCTCCAGCACATACGATCATACAAACCACTCCAGCCCCAATCATTGCGGATTTCTCATCGAGGGGACCTGATATTACCAACGATGGCATTCTTAAGGTATCTGGAGGAGAGTCTTACTAATATAAACTAGGACTCTATCTTTACAGCCCGATCTCGTTGCTCCTGGTGTGGACATACTGGCTGCATGGAGTCCCGAGCAGCCCATCAACTATTATGGCAAGCCAATGTACACCGACTTCAACATAATCTCTGGAACTTCCATGGGGTGTCCTCACGCCAGTGCTGCCGCGGCCTTTGTCAAATCCAGGCACCCGAGTTGGAGTCCAGCAGCCATCAAGTCGGCTCTCATGACAACAGGTACCAAAGAGAACAAAAACAACTAGTTTTCCCTCTTTGATCGTTTGTTTGGTGTTTGTAGCACGCTTCCTGGACAACACAAAGAGCCCAATCAAAGACCACAATGGGGAAGAAGCTTCACCATTTGTGATGGGAGCCGGACAGATTGATCCAGTCGCAGCTCTTAGTCCTGGCCTGGTCTACGACATATCTCCGGATGAGTACACGAAGTTTTTATGCACGATGAACTACACAAGGGATCAGCTGGAGCTCATGACTGGAAAGAACTTATCTTGTGCACCCCTGGACTCCTACGTGGAGTTGAACTATCCATCCATCGCGGTTCCCATCGCTCAGTTTGGCGGGCCAAATTCCACCAAAGCGGTGGTGAACAGGAAAGTTACCAACGTTGGAGCTGGCAAGTCGGTCTACAACATTTCAGTAGAAGCTCCGGCGGGAGTGACTGTCGCGGTGTTTCCTCCACAGCTCAGGTTTAAATCCGTGTTCCAGGTTCTAAGTTTCCAGATCCAGTTCACAGTTGATTCATCCAAGTTCCCACAAACGGTGCTATGGGGCTATGGAACACTGACATGGAAGAGTGAGAAGCACTCGGTCAGAAGTGTTTTTATTCTTGGCTTGAACTGAGTTGAAGAGATGGCAGACGACATGATAAGAATGTTCCAGGTCACAAGATTTGGCGGCAAAACAATGCGTCAAGCTTCAATCCCTTTCATTTCCAAGATGCCCTCTTTCGGCATAATAATGCAGTACCCAAACTTTCTACAAAACATTCGTTTAGCTCCCCAAAGTGGATCTTATCGAGGTGTTGGATAAAAGAGCTTTCGATTGATCAAATTCACTGCATTGGGGTTTGCTCTGAGCATTTCTAGTCCACGGTACAACACCATGCTTGAGAATTTCCTGTCAAATTGTAGCAACAAAACATAAGATCCCAGCACTGTTCGATGGCTTGTGCTTGGGGTTGATCTGTAACTCAATGAGAGAGACGAGAACTCTATGCCAACGCCTGATCTTATATACTAAGTTAGTCCTCTTCATCCCCACCTTGGGCAAAGAATCCTTTGCTTCAATGGCTTTTCACTATGATGGAGCCGTCACTAATTTGCTACTTGATTCTTCCTTTGTCCGCTCGTTATGCTCTTGGATGCGGGCCAAACACCTAGGGGTTTGTGTAGATGAAACATTGAGATTTTAACATGGAAGTAAGCTTACTTAAGCGTGGCAATATCCATAACTCCCCAGAGCTAGTGTTGAATAGTCTTTGGTACCAAGAGCCGACTTGATGGCTCCAACTCAGATGCCTGGATTTGAGCAGCACAGGTGTGAGGGAAGTTCCAGAGTAAATTGATGGCTTTCCATGATGCAGACCAGATCCGGATGTAAAGAATC